GGCCACCCCATCCCCTTCTTTCTGATGACCAGTGTTTGTGAGGAGGCTGCATGGTCTCCTACCTGTGACAGAGCCTTGGAGTCCCTGAGGCGGTTTCTTGGTGCCTGGGTCTCCACCTGTGCAGTGTAGCTGGGAGACGAGTGCCTCCTTCCTCACCTGCCCAAAGCTGACGGCCTGGCCTTATGTGGGATGGCAGTCTGTCTCTGGACCTTGGAAGCTGCCTGCCCGCCTGGGCTCTTACATGCCTTTTCTTGGTGTTGAGGTCATGTGTGTGCCAACATTGCCTTGGCCCTCGTCAGCCCTGCTGTGTGGCGTGGATCCCCCAGCCCTCGTGTGCTGTATCATAGTGTACATTTCAGGCCTCTGAGCAGTGAAGCTTTCTGCGCACGGTGTCCCAAGCTGTGTACATGAACCCAAGGAAGCGCAAATGCCATGTATAGGTTTCCTAAGCTGATTGTCATAATGAATGCATTTTATAACTCAAATGATGTTGTAGATTTACAATCTCTTATTTATTTTGTACCAATTTATTTGTAAATGCTGTAATTGTTTTTAAAAGGTTTTGTTTGTTCTTTGAGATAAATGATTTTTCTGCTCATCCTTCTAGCAGATGTGTGTTCCCTCTCTGACCTTTCATCTGTGAGAACACCAACCACGTCACCTGTTTAGCCTTGGCCCACTGCGCAGGTGCCTGGCTTTACTCCATGGAGCTGGGGCAGTACTGCAGGGTCCTGTTGATGAAGACAAATGGGTGGCATTTCTCTGCCCCTGGAACAGCCCATTCTAGAGCATTCTCTTTGGCAAGGTTTGTAGTCTGTTCCCCATCACCGAATCTCTAGGCCAGGATGCTCAGAGCAACATGCATATTGGCTGCTAACAGCACACTGTTCAGCTGGGCAAACACCTAAGCAAGGCCAGAAACACCTGTCAGGTCTATGTGGTTCTGAAGGTAAGAATGGCTTCGCAGGTCAACCTGAGGTTAGCCTGGGAGGAAGGCGGAACAGGCAAGGATGGGCACCCTGGAGTTGACACATCCAGCATGAGCAGAGCAAGGCACTCGCTGGGCAGCAGACAGCCCTGAGATGCAGGATGGATGACGCACACCCTCTGCGGCCGCTGTAAGTCTCCAGTCCCTTCTTCCTATCCCCACTCCTTCTCTGTGACTGGACCCCGACCAAGAACCCCCTTTGGACTCTGTTTCCCTCCCAGAGATTTATTGTGAAAGGCAGTTACAGGGCAGGGGAGCTAGATCAGGCATCTGCTGGTTCCCTGCTCAAATGGCCCCAACAGCCAAGGCTGGAACCCCATCCAGGTCTTCCACTTCAGTAAGGGCCAGAGCAGCTGACCATCCTCCAGTACTTTTCCAGGCACAATAGTAGGCAGCCAGATCGGAAGTGGGATAGCTGAGACGCAAACCATACTTGCATGGGATGCCAGCACTTGGTGGCTTGACAAGCTGCACCACACCACTAGCCCTTGCCTGCTTCTGGAATTGTTTTTTCATCACTCCTAGTTTCTCACATCCAAAGAGCATAATGCTCTCGGGATTTTGCTTCTTGGCTGGTCTCTTAATCTGTGCTGCTGTCCTGAGTCACTAAGAAGTGCTGATTGCTGACCTTCGCAATCAGCATTACTTACATTTGTCCTGTAGGTGGAGACATTTCAGTGAAGCACTGCTGACCAACCTGGCTCAGCCTAACTGCCAGCCCTGCTCCCCAGTCAATACCCTGTCTCTGTGAGGGTTTGTTGCCCGCCTCAGGGATCCATCACTGTCACAGCAGCTCCTGCTGTGTTTCCTGAATGCACAGAGGAGACGCCCCTGGAAGAGAAGGGTCCCCAGCTCGGTGAAGTCACGTTCCTGTGCTACAGGACTCCCACTGCTTCTAAGGAGACACTGGCCAGAGGATCGTGTGCAAAAAGTGACACAAACTGATCTTTTCCAAGCCTGGAAATTTACATTTTCTCAAGGTAATTTCTAATAAGCTCCTATTAAAGCCCAAAAGCTGAATTCTGTTAGTTGGCTAATGAATCCCAGCTCTGCTGGTGTGACTGCTTCATCATCTTCCCCTCCAAGGGCTTCAAGCAGGTCTGTGCTTTTTCAAAAGTCTCAAATCCCAGTGGCACAACGGGGCTGTCCTCTGCAAACACAGTGGCATGCGCTCCCTGGCACAGGGTAAGGCAGAGCTCACAGGTTTCCAGAGGGATGACTGGTCAAATGTGGTAGCTGAAGCACAACCCTACTGGTCATGGTGTGTCAGGCTGCTGAGAACACGACGGGCCTTCCAACTAAGCCGGTCCATGTTCTTACCTTACTTTTGGTGTAACTGACTGACTGGAGGGCAGTGAGCTTAGTTCCCAGATAAACTGACTCACTGGAGTACTTCTAGTGAGCACCCTGCCCCCAAAAGACCTCACGAACAGTTTCGAGGCCTAGAAGATTTTCTTGGCGAAGCCCCTTCCTAAGCATCATGAAGGCTTGTCATCTCCCAGGGATGGAAGTGTGCTTGGCCCTTGGGCTCTGCCTGGCATGGGGGGGCCCAGCAGAACAGCTGGGGACACATGTCCCTAACAGGAACTAAAAAGTGATGTATCTAGTTTTCTGATTAAATGGAGCAAAGTGTGTTGTTCAGTGTGAGCAGAAAAAGCAATTAGACTAAAAACTTAGGTTATTTAAGACTTCCAGTTATGAGGGGATGTCCCATATTCAATTACAGGTACTTTGTGTTACAGCTGCAGAGTGCACAGTCATGTGTCACTTTGTGGCAGGGCTGTGTTGTGAGGAGGGCGCCATTAGGCACTCTGGTGGCTACTTGGAGCAGGTGATGCAGTCTCACAGGACCACTTTCCCTCACACAGTGTTCACTGGCAGGTGGTTGCATTTTATCCCTGTGTCACTGTTAGCCCTGGGATGCTGTGTCTGAGCACAGGGGACGGTGGGGACAGGAAGGCTATTTCTCTCGCTCTTTGAATGCCTGCCATTCTGCTCCTTGCAGGTACTCAGCCCTGAGACCAGCACTGCTGGCTGGCTGGTCGTGCTGTGTGGTGGTGCCACGTGGCTCTGCCTGCTGCCTGTCATGTGTGCGCATGTCACCCTGCTGCCACGCGGCGTCGTTCTCGTCTTATCTTCACGACTGCCCAGGTAGCTCCCTGGCAGGGCCTCTTAAGCTGTGTTAAGCTTTTCCTCAAATGGAACCATGTCAAACATTAAGAGTTGGATGTCCTAGTCACCAAGAAAGAACGCTTGGAAAATCTTGAGCCCCAAACTGCCCAGCTCAGGAACGTGCTGCATCATTCACGGTGCTGGGTCATAGTGATCATTTTTCCCACCATCAAAGAGAGGTCACATAGTTTCCACATCATGGAATGTGGACAGATTCCGACCCGAATACAGACTTAACTCTGCAGCTGTTGGGCTCAGGCTATTTGTGGTGAATAAGCACACCATTTAAAAGTGCCTAGGCGGCCTTGGAAAGCACTACCTGGCTTTTAAGTTGACACAGATTTTTTTAAGTAAATGAATCTGATTTGGAAATACCTAAACATGGACAAAGTACTTTTAAACTTAACATGTAACTTTTACACATAAGTGATTTTTACACGTAAGTAACAATCCTGTCGTGACTTGAAGTTGTTGATAGCGTTTAGTAGCTACCGTTTAATCCAAACCAGTTCCTACAGGCACCTAGGAAGATAAAACGGGTTTTACTCACACACAGATGCCTCAGGTCTCAGCAGAAGTATGCAGGAAAAAATTCTTAGGTCTGAAAACCAAATATCAGTTAACCTAAGTCCTTGGCTTTAATCAACTCTCCTGAAACCCACCCTTAAGGCTGAGTAGCTGGCCACCCCTGCAGAGCCAGGGCAGCGGGCCTTTCCTCTCAGAGTCTGGGGACACACCTGGGGGCTGCCTGCCGCACAGCTGCGGAGTGGCAGGGGCCCCAGACACTGGGGCATATTCACAATTTTGGAGCCCCAGGATGCCTGGTGTTCTACAAATCCTGTAAGTAGCGTTTTCAAAATAATTAGGTAAAATTCTGAAGAAATGTTGCCTCTGTCAAGTCATGGTCTAGAGCTCCTCTGTTTTTCAAAACTAAGTACAGGCAACCAGAGAGGAACGCACCGTTCATGTCTCAGAAAGGTCCCGCAGCTTCCCCAAATGGCTGCTCGGGGAACACGAACCTCCTCATGGAAGAGTCCACAGGAGCACCAGTCTGTTGGGTCCTCAGGGAATTCAAGCACTTTAATAGGGCACAGACTCTTAAAAAGTCATAAAGAAAGGTATGACTAAAATCTGCTGTGATATAAAATTCTCCAGCAATTAGCAAGTCTGTGTTGTGGTGGCCTTGAAGGTAGCAGTGGCATTCCCGGGCCAGTAAGCTCTCATGTAGACAACACAAATAAAACATGGCATCTCAACTCTTGCCCTACAAAGAACTATGTAAATATGCTAGTTTAAAAGTAGTAGCAAGTCACTTAGTAATCAACGTTGTAATCACAAACGCATACTTAAAATTTTAAAGTCAAGGATGCATCTGATTTTAATCTGCAATAGCATTTCTAACCTGATTATTTTAAAGGATAAGCAGGAGGGTTTACCAGAAAGTTCATGGAAAATGGAATTGGTGCAGGAATTAAGGCCCATGAATAGTTTTGTTATAATATATAATTTCTTCATAACCTTCCCTGAATGTCGCCGAGACCCACAGCCTCTCCAGGAGATACTGGCCAGGAAGGTGTCTTGACGTGACTTGGCCTAAAGCCATGTGCACTGAGCACAGGCAGGCAGTCTGCCCTGCCTCATACCACTGTGCCCAAAAAAAATCAGAGAAAATGCTGAGGCCTATGGAGCATTACAGCATAACCTGTGTGAGACTCTGGTGCTGCATACTTTTCACCATGAGATCTGCAAGCTTTGAAGACGTGTGTTAGGAGAACATCAGACCGAAGCCCCCCGGAAGACAGTAGCTGTCTGTGCTTGAGCTACAGAAGGGGTCACAGTCGGCAGTAGAAACATTTTTCTTTATTGAATTCTAGAGCAGCTAGTCTACCCTCCCTTGCTAATAACAAGAATGGAAAAAATATATAAAGGTCAAAGGAAGAGTTACACCACTGTTAAAAATATTGGAACAATTTTCACTGTACTGGTGAGGCAGTTCTGTATCACATTCAGTAATGATTCATTCTTGTTCAGAACAAGAAGTGATTTCACTCGGGATCTGGAAGTGAATTTACTCACACTGATTGTGCCGGCTCTAGTAAGGGTCTGGCTTGCAGAGCCTTTGCCCTGTCCTCTAGTGCTTAGCTTTACAGGACAGGGCACTCTGGGTTGGTGGTTGGAGCCACAGCTTTGTAGCCCACAAGAGCGTGGAATACTCCACTGTGAGATAAGAAGGTTCTTGGGTTTGCTCCTCTTTCAGCCAAAGTTTTCCTATAGATTTATTGATAATTAAGCATTTGTTCCACCAACCTAAAAATTACGGAAAGGATGAGGACTTTGGCCTCAGAGTATCTGTCCTCCATTCCAGACCAGCCCTAAAGCAAGCAGAGAATATTTCTGCAAAGCCATTAATAACAGCAGCATTGCCAGAGCTGCTGAGGACACTTAGAGGCTTATAAAAGGAGACATTTCATAATGGAAACAGTGTATTTCTCCACTGGTACACAATACTGCGAAATGCACTGAACAGTGGGGTTTGGGAAGAACACAGCTTTTAACAGGACAGCATCCTCTTGTGTCCACTCTGAGACCCTCTACCCTTAATGTATGCAGGTACACTAGTGATGAAAAAAGACAAGGAAACAGTGCCACAAGCCACAGTGAAGCCATGTGCATGCAGTCCAGCCTTTTACCCTTACTTTCTTCCTATACAGACTCCATTACAACTGTGAATTATCTGCAGCGCACAGATACACAAAGCTAAACCAAGCAGCTCTCAGGCTAGAACACTCAAGTCTTCAGAAACTTGCTGACGTACCTCTGATGGAGCCCCCCTCCTCCCCAGTAGGACCCAGACAGGGACAGCCTGTGCTCCTGTGAGTCCTGCCAGATCTTGATCAACGGGTGCTCAGAGTTTGGGTGTTCTTTCCTACTCTTCCTCCTCTTCCTCCTCCTCTTCATCATCATCTTCATCATGGCAGTGTGTAATTTCCTGGGGAGCCAGTGGGAAGAGGTTGGGGGGTTTAATCTCACTGATTGACCGTGTCAACTGGTGCCGCTTGTAGTCGGTATCTTTGAAATCCACTGATGTACGGTTCCGGGTGGCAAGGGGAGATTCCATCTCATTGATATCCACGTGTGTGTGCTCCACGGTTGATTCGTGAGGCATCTAGAACGAAGCAGAAGACTCAGAACAGGTAGAGCAGATTAGCTGCTTCCCCAATTCTGACCCCTCCTCTCAGGCAGCCATGAGAAGCTACGGTTACAATGGCTCAGAGGCCAAGTTCACTGTAGAAGGCAACTCCCTCTGCCCCACCCACAGGCACCCAGCTCCTTTAGTATAGACACACTGAGAATCAGTGCAAAACATCTGTATCAGAACATAGGATATAAAAACCCCATTTTTCTCCATTAGTATGAACACAACAGGAGTCTTCACCATTCAAATATAACCTTAAATACAGACTGCAGAATGATGTGGTGCTTGATAGCGAGATCTTACTTTTTTCAAGGCCCCTTCTGTGCAGCCAACCAGAAGGTGAGGTTCAGCATGCCTTCCGTGCCACACTCCGGAACTGACTGAAATCTGGGCCTGTGAGTGCACTGCCACAGTCAAGAGGCACTTGAGGCTGCAGCTTTAACTCACCAAGACATGGGCAGCTCTGAAGAGGTAGCTGAATGGGTAATACAGCAGGTTGATGAAAGACGCTGCATAGAGATCAGCGTAACGCATCACTTGACTGGCAAAGAGTGTCTGCCTGGAGCCACTGCGAAACAGGCTTCCCATCATCCCATAGCACATATCCATGTCATGAGTTACTTTCTTAAACAAAAAAGATGGTTAGATCATTTTAGTATTTACTGAACACCAGCTACGTAGCATACCCTGTATAAAGCCAGAAAGATGAGTTGAGAGCTATTTTACAAGTGCCCTCACATGTCCTATTTGAATACCTTAATCCGTCTCTGGATGGAGCTAATGTCTGGGCGCTCATTGCTACTGCTGTCAAGGTGCCTGAAGACCAAAGAAACACACTCAGTGACAATCTCCAGAAAGACCCGACCCTATTTATTAATGTGGGGAGGGAGAGAGAAATTTTTATAATTAGGAAACTTACTTGTAAAGTTCAGCCAAGAAAATATCCAAACTCTGAAGCTCTTCAAAAAGTGCTGAATCAGGTTTGGAAGGGAAAAGAAAATACGTTAAAACACCCTATTTAAAACTGTTAAAACTAAATCAAAAGGCTTTAGATATGATCCAAAAAGCACAGTTTCAGTTAAGATGCTACAGGTGAATATGCAAAATGCTCTTCTCCTTCCCCTGCCAGGAAAAGCCACTCATTGCTGCCTGCTTGGAGTGCGGCTGACGATGGCCGTGACCTCCCTGAGATCGTACTGACTGCCGCCAACCCTTCTGCTGTGCACACGCACTGGGCTCGCAAGGCCAGGGCTACTGCAGCTCAGATGTGGGCAACAAAACAAGCGCCCAACTGTTCCATTTTCAGATGAACAATTATGAAAATGGCTCAGTCAGGGGTACAGGAAATGGAGCCCTATAAACTATGCATTTCTAAAACCATATAGTTGCCAAGTTGAAAAGGTATGGAAGACAGGCTAGCAAGAAACTTCAACCAATAGCACAGCTAACAGCTGGCACCTAATGAATACCTCCTCCTGCACCCAGCGCTTCTCAACCTGTTCCCCAGGAAAACTGTGAGCTACTGCATCCATTCTTTCTCTTACACCTTCTGTATAGAAAGACATCTGTGTGTGTGTGTGCGTGCTTCGGTTCAGAGGAACCTTGATCGGGAAGAACTGGCACCTGTTCTCCTGATTCACATGATCTCAGTTACATCTCATCAGCTTTGTAAGGTAATTCCTAATTTTACATTGAGGAAACGAAATCACAGGGGACTCAGTAACTTGCCTAAGGGCGTATGGGCTGTAACAGGCGGTGTGCGGGCTGTCCTCCCAGGCACTGCAAATGATGCTCACCAGGGCTGCTTGCAGTACTTGTGTGTCTCACACCTTTTTATACTTGTATCTCAGCTCTATTCAACATAGTATGCATGTTGCACATACACAGTGTGGTTCAGTTCAAGGATCTACTTTGGCTTTCTTCACTCAGAAGAACAAGGAAGACCCAGCAAAAGGTGATTGGCATTCAGAGCCATCACTGGCTGAGAAATGCAGATGGGGGCTGTCAGCTGAGAAAGGGACTGCTGAGTGCAGCTAGGGAAAGATGCTGCAGGCCCAGCTCACAGGTCCACAGTCCCTGCCGTGTGCTTAGGACACCAGCATTCTACATTGTTAACATCAAAGAGACATGAACCAAACCATCTCTCATACTTCAGACCTCAAGTCCTGTGAACTAGTCTGCTTGGGCAGGAGACTAACAATCTCTAGACCCAGCTTCTGGTCAAATCTGGAGCCCCTTCATACAGAATCGTGTGCTATCAACGGGAATCCATTCAAAGTCACCATTTGGAAATAAACTAGTTGTATCACAGGTTTAGAAAGTAAGAGTAATGGCTCCTTACAACTTTTATCAGTCCAGACATGCAGCTCTTGAGCAAGTTCAGGAATCACCAAGAAAGTTCGCCAGCCTTGCCGTTTCTTTGATTTTAGAATGTCTCCAAAGATGTGATCTCCAATGTATAAAATGTCCTTGCCTTTGGCTCCCAACAGGTCACATATTGTATCAGATGATCCTGAAACATCAGTGAACAATGAAGAAAAAATTCTGTACATTAAAGCCAGCATTTGAAATACCATGGCCATTATATATTGTGATTAGTTTATACTGGGGTGGGGAAGCCCTTTTTTAAAGGCTCATCATTCTCATTTTCCCTCCATTTTTAATCACACAAGGCCTTCAACAGAAACACGTATGCTACTGGGGATCCTTAAAAATCTTCTAGGGATATCCTAAAGTCATCATAAATGATTCTAGAACACCAAGAAGAAGCCTGAAACAGTTCAAAAAAGGGGAAGGAAACTGATCCTTTTAGTGAAAAAGCTTCATTAGGACATCTGAACTTCTCAAACCTACTCTCCCTGACTGCTATCAGATTAGTAGGTGACATCTTTACCATATTCAAGATTACAAGTGGCACTGTGCCCTAAAACCAAGCCTTTCTCACTGAGGTCTGGGCAACAATGGACACTTACTACAGGCACTTCTGACTCACCTCCAGAGTAGACAATGCCATGCTGCAGGGGGCCTGTGTAGGTGCCGATTTTCAGCTTGCCAGTCTTCTGTATAAAGAGAATTCAGACTTTGTAATGCCACCACCATCCCACCACAGTGCAACTTGGCCAAGCAGCCCAAATGAGTAGAACTTACTCTTTTCAATTAACTTGTTACCTCAGATAAACTTCAAATGAGAGAGATGGCTAATAAGCAAATCATGCCTGTTTTCTTTGGAAAATTGGCGTGAAGCACACAGACACAATGAAGGACAGTGTCCAGCACAGACATCATCCTCTCAACTTACAGTGTCCACCTGACGCAGGACTGTGCCTTCCCCGAAGAAGAGTGGCTTCCGTGCATCCACCAAGATGAGGTCAAAGTAGGATTGCCATGGTCGATGGGAGCTCCCGGGCTAATCAAGGAGCAAAAGCCAAACATCACTCCTTCAGGCATTAACACTTAATCCTACTCTGATGAAAGGAATACAGAACTGCTAAATATAGCCAGAGGATCCCACTATCTCACTAAAAATATATACTAATTATAAACCACATACTGTTGAAGCAAGTATAATCTAAGTTACTTCATTTACTATTGCAGTACAGTAACATTTCAGAGCACTTTCATAAGTGAAAATGCATAAAACGGGGCTAGGGAGAGATGCTAATCAAAATGCAAAGACGGATCAGCATCAGAACTAAAGTATACAAATTACTATGGAAACTATTACTGGGAACTCTCACTGCTTCTGTTTCAGCATGATGTATCAAGATATACATCCAGGCTTGGCACGACAGCCTAGTGGCTAAAATCCTCACCTTGCACACACCCTTGCACATGGGTGCCGGTTTGTGTCCCAGCTGCTCTGCTTCCCATCCAGCTTCCTGCTTGTGGCCTGGGAAAGCAGTAGAGCATGGCCCAAGGCCTTGGGACCCTGCACGCACATGGGCAACCCAAATGGCTGCTGTGGCCATTTGGGGAGTGAACCAGTGGACAGAAGATCTTTCTGTCTCTGCTTCTCTCTATAAATCTGCCTTTCCAATAAAAATGAATACATCTTTAAAATTAAAAACACACACACACACACACACATCTGCCAGCTATTCACAACACTAGAAGTTATGCCGTTAAAACTATTTCTATTCTGAAATGGAAACATGACATTAATCTAAGCCAAGCTGAAAGATACTGCTCAGTGAACTCAAAACGGGAATCAGTAGTGAGCATTCAGCTCAGTGGTTAAGCCACCTGCATCTGCATCCTACACAAAGTACCTGTTCCAGTTCCACATCCTGACCCCGATTCCTGCCAATGCAGAACAGGCGAGGCCAGCATTGAGAGCTCATGCAACTGAACTCCTGCTACCCGTGTTTGAGGCTTGCACTGTGTTTCTAGCTCTAGTCCCAGCCCATCCCAAAGCAGGTTATGGTGGGCATTTGAGTAATGAACCACCTGAGAGGAATTGTTTCTCCAAGTCTATGCCTTTCCAAAAAGTAAAATCATCATACAACAATAATAAACAGAATAAAAATCTTGGGGGTGGCATGGTGCTGGGACATCAGAGATAAAGCTGCTGCCTGCAGCACCAGCATCCCACATGGGTACTAGTTCATGTCCTGGCTGTTTCACTTCTGATGCAGCTTCCTACTAATGTGCCTGGGAAAGCAGTGAGGATGGCCCAAGGACTTTGGACTCTGCACCCACATGGGAGATCTGAAGGAAGCTCTGGCTTCTGATTTTGGATCAGCCCAGTCCCAACTCAAAACTTGGCCAGCTGCAGAGTGAATCAACAGATGGAAGATCTGTCCCTCTTTCTGTAACTGCCTTTCAAATAAATAATTTTTAATAAAGCAAGCAAACAAAAACCCTCAGGGATTTATTGATGTTTATGCACAAAAGCCTGGGACTGAGGTCCTATAAGCATTAAGCTGCAGTGACTAGTCCTTAAATCTAAATACAGCCATGCTGCAGGAATGAAAACTCCTCTGTTCAACGCCAAAGCTAAATAAATGCTTTCCTGGCACAAAACTCAGCAACGGTAACAGAATCTGAAGGTTGTCAAGAATAATTTCATTGTCACACAAATGCAATAATTCTGCACAAAACTTCCTTGGCATAAAATTACTTTGATCTCAGCCTAATCATAACACTTCTAATAAGTATTCAAATTGCTAATAAGATTAAATTCTAGCTCCTGAATTACTTCCAGTGTAACAGTTAGACAACAGGTTTAAAAAGTAAGATTTTTCTGAGTTGGTACTGACTATTTGAGAATTAAGAAATGGAAAACTTTCTACTAAAGCAATGATCTAGTAAGTTACACATAGTACCTTGGGGCCATGTGGGAAGTCAAACAGGTATGTCATAATTTTCTGGAAAAGAAATTCAATGTAAGATTCACATATGAATTTTGAAAAAGATATATCTTAAACACACATCCAGAGACAACACACAAGTCTTTAATGTGTTTTTCAATATAGGATTCTCCATAGTCTTGTTTCCTCTAAAGTTTATGAAGTCAGGGAAGATTACAATTCAAATAAAAACAATCTTTTGGCATTCTCAGAGAGAATATATGCTTTTTAAACAAGAACTCACTTGATTGAAATCACTTCAGCACCTTGATCTCATTACTGTTTTACACTAACACAGTTAGAAACCACGGGCTTTGCAGGACTGTTTATTCCAAATTACCAAATATATAAACCAAGAATCAATGTTAAATAGCTGTGGGAAATGGAACTCACTGCTAACCATGTAAATTTGTAATTGTCTCAGAAAAATGAAGTGCAGGAGTTTAAACCAGTCTTTCACATTTACACCCAATTAATCAGTTACAAGGTAGCACATTTTGATGCCTCAGATTCAAAATATGTACCACCTATTGCCTCAGGGCTTTCAGCAGCAGGGGAATTCAGCAAGTAAAGTGTGGAACTTCTCAGGTCTGTATGACAGAAATGCTCCAAGAAGTCATTTCATTCAGCACAGGTATTCTAAATAACTCTTACAGATTTCAAAGACTCATTTGTTGCCAGGGAAGAGTCAAAGGAAGACTTAGAAAAATGTGAGACCTAGTCTACAGCCATACTACTCGGAACGCACCTGATCTCGTCTATCTCGGAAGCTAAGCAGGGTCGGGCCTGATTAGTACTTGGATGGGAGAAAAATATGAGACCTGTGCTGCAGCCCTCATCCCATGTATCTGGCTGTTTTATACTATTTCCAAAGTGAGATATCAAGAAACTACTTCTCACTTAGTAAATTCATGTCCTCATTCACAGTTAGTTAGGTAGAAAGAATTTATAAATAAATAAAAACTACTAATATTAAGCACTTACATCCGTGTACTTATAGTCGCTGTTTGTGGCAAGAAATACTTTCCCTACTTCCTTCATTCGGCTCAGAAGCAAAGGCAGTTTTCCCTGAAATGTAATAAGACAATGAGTGAAGCATTAAAATGCAAATATTTTTGTATTTTTACTTTGAGATAGTCAGACACTAGAATGCTGTTCATGGAAATCAAAAACTGGTTGGTTGGTTTCATAATCTTGTTCTTAAAAGTCCACATTATCACTAAACATGGCATGAATACAGTAATAAATTAGGATATGTGTATATATGTAATAGATTTATATATACAATAATACATATATTTATAGGGTTAAAAGGTTTTCTATGTAAAATAATATACATAAGGATTTACATAATTAACATGTAACACATGTTTATCTTATGGTTTCTTGAAGTAATGAGAGGCCAATATTAAGCATCATTGGAGGTTTATGAGACTTATCTTTATTATGCATACAGCATAAATTCTTAAGGCACCTCACAGAATAAAATAACATGCAGATACAAACTAGAAATACCCACATCCTGCAGATAAATGAAATCGTAATTTCACACACCTTCCTTTTCTTAAACAGACTCCTTCACACAAATTTTCATGGATACTCCTTGTTCTTGAAGCAGTAAGTGGAGTGGGTAGAAATAGGATGTACCAAGAATGGAACTGAGTATTTTTTTTAACCACAGTACTTTGGGAAGATACTCTATCACTTTAATCTCAGGAAAAGCAAAAAATATCTCATCTTTGGACTCAATATGTGCTTGTTTTTTATTTTGAAAAAACTTTAGACTTGCAGAAAAATTGTGAAAATACTGAAATTCCTCTATATTCTTCATCTAGCTTTCCTTTTAACAGTAACATCTTTTCTTATATTCCTTCACAGTATAATTATAAAAACAAACTAATATTCATTAAATAGTATTAATGAAAACTATAGGTTTTAAAATTTTATCAAGTTCTAACAACTCTTAAGATTTTTGAATGTTTTATTATTCTCTTGATAAATTAAAAGTGTTGTAAATAAGTCATATACTTGTGTATGCGCATTTCTGAGATGATCTAGTGTAATGGTTATAATTTAGGTTAAATATGAGTGTGAATGCATCTTGGTTTTATCACTTACCAACGGGGTGATCTTGGAAAAGTTATTTAAATCCCTCTATTCCTTGGTTTATTCATGTATAAAACCAGAGGCAATGATAATGCATAACTCAAGATTATTTGAAGAGCAAACGGTGTAAGTGCATGCAATCACCTAGTACTATGACAAGCACAATAACCTGCTAGCTGCTATTATTAAAACTAGGGCTGTGAGGACAAATGGAATACACTGGTCTTCCTGCTTATCAATAAGGAAGAACATCTCCAAGACTCTGCTTTGGCTAAAAACTCTTGTGATTGTGTCAGCATGCGCTCAAACAGTTTCGCTTGTTCATTTCTTTATAAACAGACTTGTTCATTTCCCTAACTGATCAGATAATAAGCAATCATTCAGACCTATTTTCTCCTTAGTTACTTACATCTTTGACTACATACTTCTCAAGATTTTCAACCGTCTTCTCCTTAAGGGATCCCTAAGGGGGGAAAAAAAAGGAACTAATGAAAGAACAAAATTGCTTTTCACAGTTTATAAGAAAAAGTGCAACTCAAATAATCTTACAATATACCAAAAATGGAGGAGTATGCTAGATAAGGCCAGGAAAAAACTTAGTAGGTATGACCTGGAGGTTCAACTCTGCCTTCAAAGTGTGTCTTCTAAATACGATTCTTTCTATTTTAAAGTAGAAATTAGGGCCCAGTGCGATAACCTAGTGGCTAAGTCCTCATCTTGCACACGCTGGGATCTTATATGTGCACCAGTTCGTGTCCTGGCTGTTCCACTTCCCCTTCCAGCTCCCTTGCAGTATAGAGTCCTAAGGCCTTGGGACTCTATACCCATGTGAGACATGGAAGAAGCGCCTGGCTCCTAACCAGCTCAGCTCTGGTCGTTGTGGTGACTTGGGAAGTGAACCAGCGGATGGAAGATCTTGCTCTGTCTCCTTCTCTCTGTGAATCTGCCTTTCCAGTAAACACAAATGAATCTTTTTTTAAAGTCGCAATTAAAAGCATTTCCTGTTGTACTTAGTATAGTTTATAGTAAATATAAATTCAGTATCAATTCACGCTATTAGCTACTTGGATAAAAATATGGACCATGATCATTCACTAAGCATATGTTAAGAATAACCTGCTATACTACAATCTCTACTAAATAAGTCTGGGATATGTGAACCAACACAAAATCTGTATGTTAACATCACAACTGAGGGAAGATCCTCTGAGAACAGGATTGCCAAAGACCAGAACAAATGTGTTCCAGGAAGCTATCTCTAAGGACAAATCCCATTTTTCAAAATTGTAAACAAAATTCTGTTCCATATACAAAATGAAAAATCAGGCTTTCAAGCACATGCCAAAGTGAGCAAGTGAAGCAGCAGTTTCTATTACCTTATAATGAACCCAGTCAACAGCATCCCTCACATCCTGGAACATACTCCGATAGGACATGAAAAGATCCCCATCTTTAAATCCTGTTTCACAGCTACAGAAAGATGAAAAGAACATAACATTAAAAAAAAAGCAAATAAAATGAGTATCAAAAATTGCCCAGGGGACCCAAAGGTTCCATATCACATGGGTATGGCTGGGCTAATTAGGAAATCCAGTTTTCCCTAATAAAAACTCATTTTGGACTACCAGAAATAGCCAGAAGGTTCAACAAAATACAAAAAAAAAAAAATGTGAATAGGTACAAAGTGTTAGAATGTACTGAATGGAAGCTAAAAGGTCAAAAGATTCCAAAAATATTACTCACTGACTTTTTAGAAAAAAGGTTCTCACTGAAGAGACATTTAAAACTTAAAATTGGTCATTCAGATTCTTCCCACCCCGACTTTTCTGACATTGTCCCTAGGTACAAAAGTACCATCCACTTTGATTTAGTGACTCAAATTTCCACCAAATTTAAAATGTTTTGAAGTGGATAAAACTTAAAGAGGGTAAAAGATTAGCAAACTCACAAATATGGCTAAACTTTCTCCCTAAAAGAGGAGGATAACTTGTTCAAGACTCAAGCAAAAATTTTACTTCAGGAAAGAGTGTGTGCACATACACACTCGTCAAATTGTGCTGGGTTTGGAAAAGAAACTACTGAGTGTCCCTGAGTGGCTCCTGGTAGCTGCTGTGCAGTGAGTCGGGGGTTTTAGTGCAATTCTGCTCTGGACAGATAACCATCACACAAACCTCCCACTCAGTTGTCACAATTAGCACCTCTGCTGGTGTCTTCATTCCCAGGAGAAGCCAATCAGAAGTGATCCCTTCCAAGCATGGCTGCAGCACACTGGCAAGGAGAGGGGCCGTGTGGGAGGTGAGAGCCTGCATGGAGCTGCTGGTGCTGTCCCATCTCTCAGGCTGGCAATGTGGCATCTCACTAGCACTAAATTCACTTCAGAAAAGCAGAAAAGACCTACAATGGCCAGTTCTCTGAAACCCTGTACATTAATTTTAAAAATCAATTGGAAAAGGAAAATTAAAGTATATACATACCTGGTGTATCTGGGACAATTAGTAAAAAAATCTACTAGGCAGGCCAACAGGTAGGTCTCTGAAAAATGAAGAATAGATATTCATAAGCTATAAGGAAAAGAATTCAAACTTACCATCTCCCTTGGGTAAAGGCAACGGTCACAAAGAGAAAGGAAAGCATCTTATTTATATAAGCACAGAATGAGTCTACCTGGTAGATTGAATAGTGTGTTCAGAATGTAAAATCTTTCAGTGTCATCTCGTTGGATAAATTTATTTGGATACTGCTCTCTAGTTTCTGGTCTGAAAGAAAATATTTAAAATTAACTGGTATTCAAAAAATTCACATGACTAAAAATAACTACAGAAAATGTTTATTATTCAAAAATTCATCCCAGCAGTTTCATGGCTATATGCACAAATAGCTGGCATAGGAGACCATGAAGACAGAAAACCTCAGAGGTACTCAGTCTGGCAGGGGAGGTAAGTCACACACACATATAATGACACCAAGGGGAACAGAACCAGAAAACGGAGGAAGGGGAAACCATTCCAACCTACAGGGTAGAGAGAAACAGATGTGAGTGGTAGGAAGGGGGAAATCTAGGAAGAATTCATTAAAGTATGACATACCTAAGAGCTGGGCCTTACAGGTTAGATGAAACGGTTCAGAAACCAGTCCAATTCAAACAAAGAGAACACAGAAAAATAAAGGAAGAGACGGGCTGAGGCTGTTCATGCTGTTCTTATGCTGCTTTCAGGGACAAGAGGGTGCTTTGAGAGACTTCTGGCACAAGATAAACTCATCAGAAGAGAGTTATTCAGGGTTACATTAGTAGTAAATTGAGGATAGCTAATAGAGGAATTGTGATGGATTGCAAAATAGGCGAAAAATTCTCTATAATCCTTTCTAATGCAACTTTGCAGCTCCTCCCGTTACAGGATTGGTCTATTTCTCCATGCTCTAACCTAGGTTAAAGAGCAACAAATAGGACCCAGGCTGAGACCTAGAAACACCTACGTGCACTCTTGCTGCACATGGTACCGAGACGGCTACGTGAACCAAAGTAAACCGGTTTGCCGGAGGATAAAAAGCTACATGCAAAATTGGGCACCTGGCACACAGCCAGGCACATGAATGAGGCCATTCTAGAAAAGCTACTAGCTGACCCGCCAGCTGCCCACAGACACATGCCATAGTCCAATGAGATCAGCTGAGAAATCCTTGAATTGCCCAGCTGATTTTCAGAATATAAAGCTAAATAAAGCATTCATTGTTTTAAGCCACAAGATTTTGAAGTAAATCACTATGCAGTAAAAGCTATCTCATACAAAGTACTAGGATGTCACACAGGTGGATATTGGGGTATCAACAATGGGGCCTGTCTTAAAGTTGTGGCAAAGGAAATGAAAGGAAGAGTGTACTTAGTAGAGAATGCCAAGGTAAAACAAATAACTCCAGGCAACTTGACTGGGAGCAGCAGAAGAGGGACATCTAGTTACTGACGACAATGATCGTGCTTCGCTGCCTTGTGAAGAGATGGTTGGTACTGTTAATAAAAACAGGAAAATAGTAGCAAGCGGATATAAGAGCAGCTCTACTTTGGTTATGCTAAGCTAAAAGCAAGCATATTTTTGGCAGGCAATTAAAAACCAAGGTTAAGAATCTGAAATATGGGTTCAGACTTAAGAGACAGTATCTGTGCACGGGTGATACTACGGTACACGAGACCACTTATACGTGCTGAGAAGGAAAAGAAGAAACTGAGAATAGAAACATGGAGAACATCTGAGGTCTGAAGTTTAAAGCCAATGAAACAGACAGCTGTTTCAGATGCCTGGGAAGCTTGGAGGGTGAAATGACATGCTTTAAAAAGGAGATAGTACAAATACAAATATTTTTTGAGAAATTAAAAGGCAGGCTGAAATACAAAAAGGCACAATGTCCACAGTGAATAAATGGAAATTAAGGACTCTAAATAAAGCAAATTTCAAGTGTACACTCGGTGTGTGGGTGTATTCCTATCTGAGTTTGTTAACTACAAATGACATCAACTGCAGTTATGTATACAAAATCAACATTAGCTTCCTGTCTTAGTCACTCCTCTGAAATGGACTCCCAACAAAGATTACTCTGTAGAATATCTTTTCTTCTAGCCTTTCAAGATTTTCTTTAATGAAAATAAAGTGGAGAAATAGTAACAGTATCCTTTCCTTAGGCAGGCTTCGTAAGATGATACTGTCTCCTTAAACAGACATACTTTCTCATTGCCTCTATCACTTCAGAGCAATTCCTCAGCATAAAGACTGTTAGCAGCTACCTATTACATTACAGTATAAGCTGAATTATAGCTAGCAATTATATTTCATTTAAAGTGTCAAATTATGTGGGTATATATTTAAAATACAAGTCACTTTGGGGACGTAACATTTCATGAAAGAAGAAATGCTACTCTTGGAGTTGGGACAATAATGGTTACAGTACAGATCACTACTAACTTGCTTTAACCCACAGAATAAAAATTTATCTGTAAAATGTGGTTTTGGCTTACTACAAATAACATAAGGTGATGGCAGATAGAGCCCTAAGTTTCTCCCCAGACTCCTATACTTTCTGTCAGTAACTCCTTCTGTCCCTCTAGTTTCGCTCTTTTCCAGAAGCTTTTCATGGGACTGCTCAGGGCTAAGTGCTGTTGACTGATTCTACATTTATAAAGAAACTTGAGTTTACTCCAGTGCAAACACATTTTGAAATCAATGTATCCCCAGGGGTCTTCAAAAAAAGTCATAAAAATGCATTGTGGAAATAAAATATGCATGGATTTCTTCTTTTTTTTAAGATTTATTTTATTTATTGGAAAGTCAGATATACAGAGAGGAAGATCTTCCATCCGATGATTCACTCCCCAAGTGACTGCAACGGCTGATGCTATGCCGATCCAAAGCCAGGAGCCAGGAACTTCTTCCGGGTCTCCCACATGGGTGCAGGGTCCCAAAGCTTTGGGCCGTCCTTGACTGCTTTCCCAGGCCACAAGCAGGGAGCTGGATGGGAAGTAGAGCTGCCAGGATTAGAACCGGCGCCCATATGGGATCCCGGCATGTTCAAGGCAAGGACTTTAGCCGCTAGGCCATGCCGCCGGGCCCATATGCATGGATTTCAAAACTATTTTGCACCAAAGCAAATTTACCTTTTTAATCAAAAAGATATATTGACTTAACTCAATGACAGAGCAATAGAGAGACAAAGACAGGAAAAGAAGGACAGAGGGAAGCAGAGGAGAAATGGTGAGAAAAGGAAAGACAGAGATTGTCTTCTATTTGCTTGTTCACTTCCTAAATGTCCACAACAGCCAGGCCTGGGTCAGGCTGAAGCAGGAGCAGGAACTCCACTCTGGTCTCTCACATGCATGGCAAAGGCCCAAGCATTTGGGCCAACCTCCACTGCCTTCCCAGGAGCATTAACAGGGAAACTAGGTTGGGACTGGAGCAACCAGAACTTAAAACTAGCATTCTGATATGGGATGTTAGCATTACAAGTGGTAGCTTATACCACTGTGCCACAATGCCAGACTCTAAATACATCTTTTAGTCCATTTTTCCCCTTGACTTTTTGAAGTACTTTTATACTCATAAATAATTAATGTTTGAAACACTCTTAAATATGTTCCCCAGATAGCTATTTGAAAACTTGATTAACTTTCTTGGGAAAAGCACAAAGATATATGTATCTTGAATTAGTTAAGTCTGATTGCAGATCTAATTTACTGAACTTGAACTGCTTTCCCTTTTCTTCTCTGCCTATCCTTTCATAACACAAAAACTTTTCTCAGACATAAACAGAACTCTGACTCACTTCCTCAGGATTCTGAATTATAGTGAAGAAAATAAAGAGGGGCAAAAGGGACTGAAGTTACTTAGTACTATATGCGACCACTGTCTTCTCAACTTGCTTCCTGATATTCATAGATCTTAAACCCCTCTAGAGAAGAACAGTGTAAGAATGGCAGGCTTAACCACTGGCCTGCCCTGATGTGACAGCGTTTTTTTCCCCTGCTTTCATCACGTATCCTTGGGCATCCCCAAAGTTGTGTCATGTCAGAAACATGTTTCAGTTCTAAGTGGCACTTAGAACTTAAAGGAAGTTCTGGTACAATTTCAGTTGTGTTGTGCTTAACACAAAAGGTATTTGCCAAGAAGACACTAAGAATGTCACTGTAAACTGTGGTGATATGATGCCTTCACTCTCAGGAATGAATACCATATGGAAAAATCCTACACAAGACTGACACATAATGTGTTTTGGCTATAGGAGTTATTCTGATAGTGATACAGGGTCAGTAAAGTGAGACAGCAATGATAACAATAGAGAAAAATGAGTAACTCTAAAGTTATGAAGGTTGCCCAATTGTGGAAATAACTTTAAAAAACTGCAATAAGTATCTTAAAAGAAATATTGATGTTTCACTCCAAAAAAGGTAGATAATAAATTTTATCTGCTGAGTACAAGAGAAGAAGTTTAAATTAGTGATAATAATGGAAATATTCTGATTATAAAAATGAAACTTATTCATACTTGTTTTAAATATTACTCTGTATCCCTATGCTTTAAAAATGTTAAACACACAAATGTCCAAATTTTTTTCATTAATAAAAAGTGATATATTAGCTATTAAAAATCTTAAGTCATTCAATCCACATAGTTTAAACTTTTTCAAAGCACTGTACGTACCTCTTCTGAGCAGGTACCTGAGAACTGTATTAAAAAGGAGAAAATAAGAATCTTAGAATTTCAAGTAAATCAAAACTACTAGAGTTCTCTTTGGGTAGGTTTCAAGATCAGCTCTGTTGGATTCTGTTTAATTATAAGGGACTGATAAAGTCTGGGTTCTGACTAACAAGTTATTGTTAACTATCTTTATGGAAAGGAATTGCTCTTTAGTGATGAAACAATACTGAAGTAGATTCCAGCTGTAGAGACAATGTCATCTTCATTTTTGTTTGATTATTGACACACTAGCAAGAGGTGAAAGGCTCTTTGTACTCACCCCCTTATAAAGTTAAATCCATGGGCACAGACCAGGAGGTTTCCATAGGCATCAACTTTCAAGAGATTTCCATACAATGTGTCAAAGACAAGTCCCCTACATTGAAAGGAAGACATTGTTAATGCAAAATAATATAGGCAACAATTTTATGTAGTTCTATTCAGTCACTATCAATAACCCTCAACTAATTCAAGTTGTGCAACAATTCAGGTGTGTTCGAAAACAACAATAACCTTAAAGAAACAAAATCCTGACAGAGAATCCCAAAGCAACCGGAAGATAACTACTTTGTGTAGATAATCACAATTATTTCCTTTATGAGTAAGAACATAAATAAGATGGGTACTAACTTAAAATGATTTATTTTTATTTGAAAGGCAGATTTACAGAGAAAAGGGTCTTCCCTCTGCTGGTTCAATTCCTAAAGGCTGCAACGGCCAGAGTTAACCTGGTCTGAAGCCAGGAGCTTGCTTCTTCCATGCCTCCCATGTGAGGTGTGCTAGCTACCTGAGCCATCCTCTGCTGCTTTCCCAGGCCATAAACAGGGAGCAGGATGAGAAGTGGAGCAGCCAGGATATGAACCAGTACCCAGAAGGGGATGCTAGCATTGGCAGGTGAGCCACCATACCAGCCCAAAATTATAACTCTTACTACAGCTGGTACCATTCTAAAAAAGAACCTTAATTTCCTTAGACAACTGAGTTGATTCATGTTTCTCTCTTTGATGATGTATGTAGGCATCAAGCTTCCTAATCAGAAATCCCCCCTATCAAATCCAGAAATGCACACTGCCAAGAAGGCTCTGACTGTCTTCTTCAATAGCAATAAAAAGAGCTCAATTAAAGGATACAAATGATACAACAAAAAGGAAAAGTTCAAGACAATTTAAAAATTAAAAGTCAACTCCCCACGACTTGAAGAATTTGGGGGTGATCAAGGATGAGTTTGGATTACTAATGGATTCACAATTATTCATCTGAAAATGTCTTGAAAATTACCTGGTAGGGAATGTAGAATCATAAGCAAAGCTGAGCAGCTCCTGGGGATAGCCAATAGAAACTAGTCTCTCCACAGTAAGCTCAAATCCAAGAGACTCATACTCCGGGGACTTGTACACTGCACAAAGAGGAGGCACTCATTAGTCAGCAGGAACAACACCCAATTAATGAATTTCCACTCTGCCCCAATTCCTCCCTCCTCCTAAATCAGCCAAACATCTTTTCCCTCAAATTCCCCAAGTAAGTTGAGAATCCACTTGTTAGTCTGTGAAAATAGGTCATATTATAGCAGGAGAACAAGACAAACTGTTGATCATTGCAGAACAGTTCCTTATTAGGAGACCCATTCTAAATATTTTTCTCTTTATCTGTTGTTTCATTCCCACAATCTAAAGGCAAGAAAAAAATTATATATACAACTGTGATGTCAGCCACAAGAATATAAGTACATAGAAAACTAGGGAAGACAATCTGTAAATATGAAAAATTTTGCAAAGGTGCATAATTAATGCAGAAATCCTTCTCAATGAGCATTATAAAACTATTTTTGGAGTTCCTGTTTGGCTTGAAAACTACTTTACATTCTTTCTAATCAACATTGACTTCACTTGTTAGATTGCCTTGGTTTCTAAACAATCCTAACAATGCCTCAGTCATCAAAATCACATTTTATAAGTCATGACACACACCAATCATAAAACATGTCATAAAACAGGGAAATTCAGATGTGACCTGGGAATCAGACGTGAAACAATCATAACTCTTTTAATTACTTGTGACAATGGCAGGGATAGGTGCATTCAGATGTGTGATTGCAACTTTACTTCCCCTTTCCTACAAAGGAGCATATTGGATTTGTTAGAGTCAAATAACGGGTTTCAGGCTCTAAGATTTTTTTTTCTCTACTATTGTGTATGCCTCAAGTTTTCCCTTTCAGAGATATGACTGCAATTCAGCACACAAAAAAACGTTGTTTCTTCCAACAGATTTCTTATGTATTAAATATTTAGGTTGGGCCCGGCGCAATAGTGTAATGGTTAAGGTCCTTGCCTTGAATGCAACGGGATCCCATATGGACGCCAATTCTAATCCTAGCAGCTCTACTTCCCATCCAGCTCCCTGCTTGTGGCCTGGGAAAACAGTCGAGGACGGCCCAAAGCCTTGTGATCCTGCACCTGCGTGGGAGACCCGGAGAGAAGTTCCTGGCTCCTGGCTTTGGATTGGTGCAGCTCCGGCCACTGCAGCCACTTAGGGAGTGAATCACTGGATGGAAGAACTTCCTCTCTGTCTCTCCTCCTCTCTGTCTCTCCTTTCCAATAAAATACATAAATCTTTTTTAAAAATTGGCTTTAAATATTTAGGTAAACAAGAATTCATTAGTGTTTAGGAATGAGTATGTTATATTAAAAACAAAAAAAGACAGCCAGTATATTAAATATCAAGTGAGGCAAAAATATGAGGATATCTCAAAAGGTGTGTGTGTGTTTTTTTAAACAGAATTAAAAGGGAAGATTTGGGGTATAAAACATCTTTGAAATCCATTCATGGTTCTTTCATGTTCCACTTCTTTTCTGAACATGGGATGTCTTGTTTTGTATTATTACAATTTTTCATCTATTATTAACATCGTTAATCCATCAAACTTATTTTTCATTGCAATCAGTCTACTTATCCAAATTAATTCTAATATTTTAGTGATCATGATTCGACTTTCCAAATCCTTTAAGATATTTGTGGAAACGGGCAAAAACTCTGAAGAAGGGAACCGAGAAGCTGGGACAGGGAAAGAATGAGAAGTTCACATAACCTTCCCTTCCAGTCCATTAAACTTGTGACACTGATTTATCTATTTTTCTAAAATAAATCTTGAAAAAGCTGAATCTTCAAATTATTTACTACATGTTTATCAGATTTAAAAAAACTGAAATCTACAATTATAAGATCCTTTAGGAGATGCCTAAATTCTATTTCCATACAACAATTCCAAACAAAGGGAAAAGAAAACAAAAATCTTTGCTTCTTTTGTTGTCTGGGGGGGTCAGAGTAATTTAACTCTGGCTGACATTTTAAACCAGCTACATTTCTTTCCTCCTCTCAACACCTGCCTTATTTCCAGCCTCCACACCTCTACTCCTAAAAAAGAAAAAACAAACAAAAGTGGCTGGAGCCTTAAGTGGGATTCCAAAGTCGAGGACACACACATGGCTTGGCTGTTACATATTCATATGTACTAGCAGAGTAAGAGTTAGTGAATTCAGAAATCACCAATATAAATTGAAATAAAACTTTATCTTTTCTCCACCCCAAAGATCCCAGCCTAGCTGCCAGCAAATCCCATTTCCAAAAATTTTAATAAAACAAATTACTTCTCAATCCTAATCAGAGTATTGCTTGTTTCAAAAACTATCGAATGAAATAAAATTCCAGTGTAGCTCAGTTTCTAGCAACTGTAGATAGGTAATTTGGGTGATCTACTGGTATTCATTCTTAGAGGATCTGGCCCATAAAATGTTTTCAATTATTTTTTTTTTTAGAGAGCCATCTGTTGGATGTCTTAAGAACAGAAAATGAAGAACAAATCACCCCCACCCAGGCTTACCCCCAAATCACCAAGCTTCCCTTAGTTAGAGAATCAGGTACAGAGAAAAGGAGTTACTGGGAATTAAAACTTAAGTCCATGATATAATTTAGTGAAGCTCAAATTAATTTATTCAGAATATGGGGGGAGAATAAAATCCTTATTTGTCCAACACAATAGCAGAAAATAAAAACATGATGGAAAGTACTTCAAAGAGTATATAGAAAAAATATAACAGAAAGATGTATTTTAACACAAAAATTCTTTGAAATTCATGCATGCAGTTTTTTCCCTCATAGTAATACATTTCTCATGCACAATTTGAAGACTCATACACGTGCCACAAACTGTTTTCATTCTCAGAGTAGAACTTTCAAGAATTCAGTTGAAGTGACTATCTAGAAATTCCACCTATAGAAACAAAGCCTTTAAATTTGCTTTGCGAGTTCAAAACTCTTCCCAAAAATATGATGTATCTTCTCCACTCGGTAACCCAAAGTTACAAAGCAAGTACAAACAACAGCTGAATCCAGAATTCAGGCTTTTTAAAAGTCTCATCCAGTTTTTTTCTCCTGAGACAATACTGCCACTGCTAAAATGTATTTCTACATTCTATGCCACTACAATGCAAGCTTGCATTTTGAAACACACTACTTTTCTCTCCAATTTCTTCCAACTAATCCAAAACACACTGCTCTAGGCACAGGTGGGAATGGACTTAGCAAAGAGAAGCCACGATCCAATTTAGCAACACTATTTCATCAAGCTCTATATTAATCAGTAAGACCTACAAGCTATTGACATTATCTCATAAGCTTCTCGGATAATCATTTCAGCAACATGAACTCCCAAGTCATTAAATCATCCACTAGAACTCCACACAGTATAACCAGGGCTGGAAAATCAGAACTGCAGCTGCACAGAGAATACATTCAGAACTTTTACTGGAAGTGTCCCTTGGCAATAAACATATCTGGCCTGACCTACTGGCAAAAATTCTCTAGGTTTACAAAGCACCACCATTCCATAAAAAATAAAAAGCTAAATCTGTCTCCCAGCGGGTCCTCCAAAGCCAACCTCAGCCACGTGTGAGGAATCATACACATCACCTCAGAATGCAGAGCTCCAAGCCCCTCCAGAGCTGCAATGCCCCCCATTTCAACTTCTCTCACAAAATTGTGGCAAATAAATAATGCAGTTTCAAGCTCAATTCTTACAGAGGACTTTCTGTGGTTCCAAAATACGGCCAACAGCTTCAGAATAAACATAACCTCACATACTAACTGCTTAATTGTTCCTCCCCTCCCCCCACTAAAAGGTCTTAGGGCCTACTCCAACACTCCAACTTACCCAAGATCCAAAGACAAAGGAAGTTTTTTTTAAGGGCCAGAGTCCAAACGAGGGAACTGCTTTAGCCACTGGGACAGCACACAATGTTCTCACGTTATGTAACTAGACTATAAAGAGAACAACCAATGCTTTGAAAGTTGAAGCTACTGAATGTTTAACGATATTCTTTACTCCATAATCTGCAAAAAACAAACAAAAAAACAACCACAGCTCTTCAAAAAATAACTGTGTGTTGTGGGCCCCATTCTGGGTACGTGCTTTTCACACAAGGAATGAGCCTGCAAGCTTTTGGCAGGGAACTTTGGAATTCTCATGCACTTTTTACCTTAGCCACCAAAACACATTGTGTAGTAGTTATAGATTTTAGAAAAATAAAGGGCAAACCTCTAGAGAGGTTCCAGCCTAGCAGAGTGCTGCTGCCCAATGAGAACTCACACGAGGCAGACGCAGATGCAGTGTGTGTCACTCCAGGCTTGAAGGAGTTACACTGGCTCTCCTGTTAAAAAACAAAACAAAGCAACAAAACAAAAACAAAAACAAAAACAAAAGCTGGTTTTAAAACTGTTGCGATGGGCTGGAACAGAGAGACACCATTTGGACACTGGTATTTACAGGAGTTATTACTGCCCTCCTATTTAGAAACCTCTGATCACTAAAATTAGCCTAATTAGCCATAACAAAACAAGCGAATTGAAAATAAGCCTTTTATTTTATAAAAATATTAAAAAATATATTCTTTACTTTCCTCATATTTTGAGTCTGGAATACATATCAAGTCTGATCCAGAAGTGTAAATTCAAAAGACAAACAGAAAAATTTATCTATTTGTCTTAGTCTTTTTCTCCAGAATATTCCTCCAGCATATTGCAGTTTGTAAATGATGTTTGAAATTTAATTTGGCTATATGGAAAAGATTAAAGAAAGGGTACAAAAATGAACCTAAGCAGTTTCATCCTGATTATGTAAGTATTCATTAACTTTGCTACCTTTCAACAATTTAGTTCATCCTCTTGCTCACAGAAGAGAAAGAACTGTATGCCACCAAAAATGTCTAAACAAAGTATCGAAATTTAGAATGGAAGGCAATACTGTTATTTCACGTCTGCTTATTTGATTTTACTAAGCAGCTACATTATTCTATACATAGTTTAAAAAAAAACCCTACATTGTGTAAGCATACTGACACTCTG